GTTTTCTCTCCAAGTTGCGACAAGCTAATGCTGAGAAGACACCTGAGCAGATTTAGAAAATCACGTATTTCTTATGTGTGCGTGAAGTTATGTAAGCCTAACCATGACTCTATATCCAATGGCGTTAATATCGCAGCTACACCCTGGAATACTGAGATTAGACCAGACATTGAGGACTTGTATGCTCCGGAAGTTTTCTCTGATCCACCATCAGGAATATTCATTATTTCAAAAAGATGAAGATTAATAATCCAGATGATGGATCAGAGATCAGAAATTGCTCAGGAAGTTTTCTCTCCAAGTTGCGACAAGCCAATGCTGAGAAGACATCTGAGCAGATTTAGAAAATCACGTATTTCTTATGTGTGCGTGAAGTTATGTAAGCCTAACCATGACTCTATATCCAATGGCGTTAATATCGGAGCTACACCTTGGAATACTGAGATTAGATCAGACATTGCTGAAGGACTTGTATCTGATCCACCATCTGGATTACTGAATTTACTGAGAAAAAAGTTCAGTAATCTTAGTAATCCAGAGAGCTCTGATCAGAGATTTCTCTGGAAGTTTTCTCTGATCCATCCTTTGGATTACTGAGATTACTGAGAAAANNAAAAAAGTTCAGCAATCTCAGTAATCCAAAGGGCGGATCAGAGAAAACTTCCAGAGAAATGTCTGATCTCTGATCCGCCCTCTGGATTATTGAGATTACTGAAAAAAAGTTCAGTAAACTCAGTAATGCCAGTTCTGACGGGCACGCCCATTTCTAATATAAGCAATGTCAAAGACCATATTTCATAAAAGAAAGGAATGGTGTGGTAAAGAAATACATAAAACCCATACACTATATGATTTTCAAGAAGATGAAAAACCCATACACTATATGATATTCAAGAAGATACGCATCCAAAAACTAGCATCCTCAGCGTCCCTTTCTGTCTACTTAAGGGTGACTAGAATTGTAGCTACATTCATAGTATTTCAGAGTTGTGTTTTAGGGGGCATGGTGCAGATCCAGTTTTGCCCGGCTCCCGACGTTGTGGTAAACCCGAACCAAAACCCTGAAAGATGGCGGGTTTAGGGTTTAGGACATGCGCCAACGTGGGGGGAATACTATGTTCTGTGCATTTCTTAAGATGCCCCTTGGGTGGATCTTGCAAGTAATTAGGGTCCGAATCATGTGGGTCGTGATTTTACCCCTTTAATGGAACTGCTAATTTTCAAAAACTTCGTTCCTTGCTTTCTAAAATTGTGCAGACAGGGCTGGTTACTGTTTTGGCAGTCCGCCCCGTAGAAAGAGGCTAAACCCTACAGTAGTAAAACATCAAATCCTAAAGTTCTGAACACGGAACCCCTAAACACCCAGCCCCTTAACCGCATACATCAAACTCCCAACACCAAAGCCCTAAATTGGATTCAATCCGGAGCCACGCGGTTAAGGTCTACGGCTTAGGGCTTAATGTTTAGAGTTGAACGCTGTAAAGATTTCCTGGCTTTTGATTAATGTGGAGTGCGGGAGAGAGCAGAGGTACAATTTCGAGGGGTTATCTTGAGATGATGAGAGGGATCCGCTGCCCAACTCCCCCTTCAGCGGCCTAAACCCTAAACCCCATAGCAGCCCCAAAACTAAACCCTAAGCCTTAAACCCTAAACCCTAAAACCCAACCCTTTAGCACCGGCAAGAAGAGTGCCTCCAGCTTGTGGCTCAAGGTGTCTGTTTCCCTTTGGGCACTAAACCCAAAACCCTGAACCCTAAAGCCATTTGAAGTGAAGTTTCAACTCTGACTTCAGTGAGCGTACATAGGAATAGTGGTGCGTGTATGTATATAATATAGTTCCCTTTTAAGTAGATTGAATATGGCTTTGGGTATATCATAATAAGATGCCCTTATACCCCATATTCTATCTACTTCCGAAAGTTATACATATAAACATATATGTGTGGGCCTCAAACTAAATCCATGGGTCATACGGGTGGACAGGTGGCCATCAGCAACTTCCATGTATTTGCTATGAGTGTTCCGTTGTGCTCCCTTGTTTTCTTGTAGGGTTTGCACCATTGGTGATCCTTTCCTCTTGATATTGGAATATTCCAGTATCTAGCAAACTATTGGACTGCCTCACTGGACACCTGCGCTGCAATGGAGCTGTGCTACGCATGTGCCATCCAGGAACCGCAAGTTGCTTTTCCCCTTTTATCTCATGCAGCCTGCCTCCGCGATTCTTTCACACGGACCATCAGCATGTCGCAATGCTTTCCGATGTATGTCACTGCGGTGGCTGGTCCTTTTTGTCAGCAGTTGTTGTTGTTGTTGTTGTTGTTGTTGTTTAAGCAGAAGCTTCTGTAACAGAAATGACGTCGGTTGCGAGTCAGCTGAAGAGCGACGAAGGTACAGCATGTGCTTGGTATGACCAAGCTTTTTCCACATGAGGAGCTCCTGAAAGCAGGCATGTTGGTGCAGTATGAGGAGAGCCAGGGCAGTGCCATGTTCATTTCCCACCAGTGGGCTGGCTCAGATCACCCCGATCCCTTTTTCGAACAGTTCAAGGTGTTGCAGGAAGCTTTGAAGAAGATGATGTCCAGTGCAACGGGCGTCTCTGCAAATATCTTCGTTGAGCTCATGTACGCTGAGGACAAAACTGGGGTCACGGCCCAGGACCTCACCTCTAAGCCCCTCTTCCTTTGGTACGACTACTTCTCATGCCCACAAGATGAAGGAAGGGAGGCACGCGAGCGTGCTATCAATAGCATTGCTAGCTATGTGGAGAAGTGCCAGTACTTTGTCGTCTTGTGCCCCCACGTCCGCCACTGGGGTACTCCTGGGATGCTTTTTAATTGTGGACCATAGTCCCCACATACCTTCACTTACTGGTTCAATAAAGAAATATCATCCCTATATAATCCCTGTAGAATGTATTCCCATATTCCCTACTAAGCCCCAGTGAGTGTATATGACCCATGGGAATTGAACTTTGATAGGGCCCAACCCTAAGCCCTAAATCCTAAACCCTCAACCCTAAACCCTAAAAACCCTCAACCCTAAACTCTAAATCCTAAATCTATCCCAGGCCATGCGGAGCAAGAAGCGCTCACTAAAAGAAGCTGGGAGAGTCGGGGGTGGTGTCGCTTAGCGCCTGGGTTGCGGTATCTAGGGTTTAGGGTGGTTAGGGTGGAGGGTTTAGGATTTAGGGTGCAGGGTTTAGGGTTTGGGGTTTAGGGTTCAGGGTTTAGGGTTTTGGGCTGTGGGTAGTTCCCAAAATCAGGGTCCAATTTTGGTATCCCAAAATACTAGCTGCAGAACTAAACTACATAACCAAGAGGGCCCCATAATTTTGAGAACAACCCACTTACGCTCCAATACACCAGTCTGGACGTACAAACAAGCACTACGAAGTATAGATAATCCTCTAGAGGACAGTGTTTCCTGCGTTCGATTGCTTTTCCTTGTTTTCGTTACTTAATGTAGATTCCTTTCCTTTTCCCTCCCTAAACACCTAAACCCGTAAACCCCTAAACCCTAAACCCCATGTTGCTTGCCGAAGTTGAGTTCCCTAGCAGCAACACAGGAGAGAGCAGCAGAAGGGCTGAGGCTGAAAGGAAAGACCGGCTTGACCATCGAGGTCCACAGTCCCACCTACCAAGCCTTAGGACACCATTGGGTTGCAGTATAAACTCCTTAAAGGAGGGGTTTAGGGGTTTAGGGTTTAGGGTTTAAGGTTTAGGGTTTAGAGGTTTAGAGTTTAGGGTTTAAAGGTGAGTTATGTGAAGGATTCTACCGGGGAGACTGCGGCTCATTGGGTTCAAAGTGTGAGGTTCAGGGTTTACGGTTCAGGGCTTGGGATAAGGTATAAGGTTAATGGAGAATCAAATCGAAAAGAACATGAAAAATGAAACGGAACTGGGCTTCTGCAGGAGTTTATAAGGATGATCACCAATATTACGCTCCTACACTATTTCTGGTAGAGTTATAGTACAGGATACCTCCAAAAATTGATATTCTAAGCCACATGAGTAGTATTTTATTTGGGGATACTATGGTACCCTGTCCAAGCACCGGACAAAATTCACCGACCATGCCACCAAGCCTCGCTTCATGAGCACAGCGTACTGCTTGAAAACCTCCACTCTTGTCAAAAGATCATCGATGATCTGGCCACAATTATTGCCAGACTATAGTTAGTCTAAACTATTCACTATTTGTGGAGCCAAAGTGCTCAGCGCTTGATTTGGATGACTGACTGACGTCCGTGAATAATACTATGGTACCCAATATA